CCTTGCAAAGTGTGATGTCGCATGTGTTGAGTTGTCGCGGGCTTGTCGGTATTGGAAGAGTGAGAACGTAGAAGCACTCATCACAGAGTTGTGTCCATACAAGGTTTTCACTGACCGATGTCTTTTCATGCCCGCAAAGCAGAACAATGCGAAGCATACATATCCTGCGCAGTCACCCCATCCGATCCAGTGTTTTCGATGCAAGTGCGAGCGTGACCATGTCCTTTGAATTCTTGAAACCTTCGCTGTGAGGGCTTGTATCCGACGAACATGAGCCGTGCAGTGCTTCAGAGCATCCTTGACTTCCCTTGAGATTTTTCCAGAAAGCCCCACGGGATTTTTCGCGCGCCAAAAACTTTTTGTGAGAGAACCTTTTGCGAAAGTTTTCAAGTCATCAGCGACTTTCGGCAGCCTTTTCTTGGTTGGAGCTTGACAGCTACAAAGCAGAGGAGGCTACAATTTAGTGAAAGAGAATGCAGCGTCTAGATTTGGAATCAGCTTGAGCGCAGCATTTAATTCGGAGCAGCTTCAATGCACAGTGCATCAGCAAGTCAGTGCTTGTGAACCCGAGCGTGTTAATCATCCTATTCCACCTCTCTATGTCCGCGCGGCAAGCTGCAAAAGTCTCTGGCGAGGCTTTGAAAGGGCAATTGTTTAGAGTGCGTGCTGGCGAGTTCCAGCTAGTGATCGTCGTGCTGTGAGGGGGTCTGAAAAGTCACTTCTTGAAGTTCCTTGTGAGCCAGCACGAAGATCCCAAAGGCCCACTTGAACGATAGTGTTCATGTTTTTGGCCACTCTTGACTTCAGTCAAGAACACCTTTATCCATGTGAGCGAACACACCAAGATTGACCGAAACTTGACTCAAGCTGCGTAACTCGAAGAGTCGTGGGAGCAGCGGAAAAAAATTGCGTCGGGATTTCAAATCGACATGCATCTTCGCAAAAAGTGCTTCATGAGCTTGGTTCGGCTGCTGCTCTTCCATTAGCAAGAGTGGCAAGAACTGGGTCCGCCCGAAATCTAGCCCAAATAGCGTGTGTTGCGGTGTCGTGTGGCAGCACACAAAGGAGAGCCACCGCAGGAGAGTGCGCATAAGCAACCGCACGCCTGAGAGCGCGCGCAGAAGGAAAGTACATATGAAAGCATAAAAGAAAGCGCGCATCTGAGGGCGCGCGCGTGAACACACGTGCAAGAGAGCTCACGTGAGACCGTGTGCATAAACACAACTGCGCAAGCTGACTGATTCCCGATTTTCCGCTTCTTTCGAATGTTTCTGGGATATTTTTCGCGTTCTTTTTTCATGGGAGTGCTTTACAAGCAGCAGAAAGGTCAAGGGACGACGAAGCAGCAAAGCCAGCGGGAGGGAGAGAGCGAATCAGTGACAAAGGGAGGGGGCAGAAAAGGCGCCCCACTTAACAAAGGAGAAAGAGCAGTGAGGCATAAAAGGGACTTCTTTGCGGTTGTCTTCAGGCTTCGAAGGTCTTAAGAATTCTTCGGCTTTCCTCCTCTAAATTTTCCCCTCAGGTTGTTAACCAAAAGGCATGCGCCCTTGGAATGGCACCTTCCTCCTTTAAATTTTGCCCTCACTTTCCGCCCCTAAATTATACCCTCGGGTGGTTTGGAAAAGGCGTGCGCCGTTGGACTGGCACCTTCCTCCTCCAAAATTTTACCCTCGGGTAGCTCACAAAATCGGGTGGTTCACAAGAGGTACGCGCCGTTGGGATAGCAACTTCCTCTAAATTTTACCATCGGGCGCCTCACGAGAGGTATGCGCCGTTGGAGACAAGTCATGAGGGGCAGCAAAAAGAGGCCAGCAGGAGGCGTGCGTTTGCCCGGCATCTTATCATCGACGAAGTTTTTATGCTTTCTGCAGCTTCGCTGGCCGCTTGCAGCAACACACGCTCGGTAGACCCTGGCCACGGCAAGCAGCACAGCAAGCTGCCTATTTGCCACTGCAAAAGCAGAAGCAACAGCAAATGCAGAAGCAGAAGCAAAAGCAAATGCAAAAGCAGCAGCAAAAGCCGAAGCAGAAGCAGGAGCAAAGGTAAGAGCAGAAGCAGAAGCAAAAGGAGAACGCAAAAACAGAAGCAAAAGCATAAGATAAAAGCAAAGGCAACAGCAAAGGCAAAAGCAAAAGCAGAAGCAAAGCAATTAAGAAGCAGAGGCAAGAAGCAGAAGCAGAAAAGACACGGACAAATACCAGAGAATAGCGGTTCCCCTTCAAACATCCAAACGCATTCCTCTTGCGCCCCAACGCCCGTATTTTAACCAACAAAGCACTGCTTGCAGCGCTGGCAGCGCGAACCTTTCTCCTGAAGCCAGATCTCACTGCCGCTGCTCACTGCCGCTGCTCACGCATTTCAATCCTCCCCAGGCATTTTGATTGTTCCTGAGCACTTGTCAGCATGTGTGTGTGTGTGCATGTGTGTGTTTGATTGTAGGTGGATCAGCTCTCTCTTCGCCAACTTTACTCTCACCCAATAGTTGCTGTTGCGAAAGGCAAATAAAGGCAATGAAACGTTAAATGCGCAAGCCTTCCAAACAACAACTCTGTGGCAGAATGAGTTCCAAGAAACACCTGCCTATGGTTACTGCCCGGGAAGGATTCGCTGACAAAATGCAATGATATTTGAGTATGAACCTTTCAAAGCTCAACTTTTGTTACCCGTGTCAGCCCATGTCATGTCTTCCATGCCCGCCGTATGGCAGAATGGCCATGAGTCCTCCAATATGAAATGAGAAATGGCCGACAACGGCGCAAAGACTTGCTGATGCCCACCCAAATCCAAATTATGACGCAAAGTAATGCGTTGCTTTCGCAACTGGCGTGGCGACGCACCGTTACAAATGTGCGGGGTCATGATGCTGTGTGAGGTTAGGAAAAGTTTGATTGCTTCTATTTCTGTGGCGCTTAATAACTCTATTGGTTCAACGCACTGACCTTGCGCAGCTAAAGCCATATAGAAAACGATTTGGAAACCTGGAGCAGCAAATGTGGTTATTGCCGACCTGTGATATGGTCTGTGGACACAAACTTTTGGTTGTCTTCGGCGGTAGAAAAACCGGTTGAACATTTCTGGCGAGGATATGTGGTATCTGTCGCAGTCTGCGGTGAATCTTGGCGTTCTGCGGCAGTGGTTAAATCTGCAAAGCAACCTGCGCAAGTTTTGACTATATTATATAATAACCGTTTTTGATTTGTTGCGCCCTCAAAATGACGCCCAGTTTTTTTTGGGCGCCATGCTGATATTTGCGATTTGCCTTGTTTGCGGGGCGATGTGGAGCACTCCGCGATCTGTGGTGACTTTTCTGGTCTGAACTGACTAGCTGTAACCATCTCACGCGATTTGTGGCCTTGGCAATTTGCAGCAACTAAGCATCTGTCAACTGCAGTGGCTTGTGACCCTTGCAGCCATTTGCGGAAGCAACCCTAGCGCACTCACATGAATTTTCCGATGTTCGTCGTGATCGTTGTTGTTTACGACAAAAACAACTCAAGGAAGAAGACTGCATGCTTTCCAAGAGACGAAATACGATCCGTCCTTTCGTCAGGTCGAAAGGCGACATTTCTACAGTGACTGCGTCTCCCTCCATAACCTGGCAAGTGGATGCAAACAAGAAGGCGCCACTTTGTTTGCAGCCCTGTTCATCCCCCCTACATCCTGTAAGAAAATCCAACAAATTCTTCAAAGACCAAGTCAAAGGCGTAACTCAAGCGCAAAGGTGATTTTGCATGTTGGTTGTGGTTCTTGTCTTGGTTCGGCCCTTGACCGCACAAATCATTGGGGCTGGGCTGGGCGGCCCCCTTTCATCCACCGGCGCCGTCCAGCACCAAGGTGTGAAACTGGGCGCCCTGAGACAGGCCCATGTGCGTTGCAGGGAAAAGCTAATCAGAGTCAATCCCTGAGCAGGGATTTCAGAATTCGTAGTCGAAAAATTTCAATTCCTGTGGGAAAACACCGCGCGTCAGGCTACGCAACTTCATCAGCCTGGAGACCTTGAGCCCAAGTGTTCAAGTCTCGTTTCACATGAACATGAGAAGGGGCGAGCTGGATCCACTGGTGCAGCTGACAAAGTGTATCAGGATCGTTTGGGCGACGGAAAGATACTGCCTCTGTGCGAGATGAGCGGAATTCTTATCTGCAGACGATTGCCGATTGCATTCGCCTTTGGCTGTCAGCGTCGAGGCAGGCAGAAGGGATCGCTGCGCAGGGATGTTAGGCGCAGGGTTAGGAACGCTGCCAACATGGCGGCCAGGCATTGATGGCCAAGTAAGCTTTTCTCCCAGCGACGGGCAATCCCAATGCCAGCAATGACTCAAAGACAAAGGTCGTCCAGCGCACCGTCAGGAAGAGGCTGTATAGAGCGTTGGGAGAAGCAAGGCCGCTGTCCGTCTTTTTCAACCGCCGGCCCCCATCAATTTGGTCATGAGGTTGGCCAGCTCCAACCTGTGTGAGGGGTAGCGCCGCCGCTCTCTCCCAAAGCCTGGCAAACTTTTGGCCCTCAGTAGTGTGCGTATGGAGCGTGTTGCGATTTCCTCGCCGTTGTCTTGAGCGGATACGTGTGGCCCGCGAAGGTTCTCTCTGTTTCCGGCTGAGGGTGGCAAGGTCGCGCAAGGCGTGGCAGGGCCCACAGCTCCATCTCAGGCCCCACCAAGTCATCGCCTGCCGGGTAGACACCCGCGCAGCCGGGTTTCTCCAGGCACTCGCTTCCGATGCCGAAAGGGTGATTGAGGTCACGTCTCTACATCACGCAGTCAAAGAGAGCAGCGGAGCTACCCTGACCCTGCGCTATGGCGACAATTGACTTGAACCAGACTGGCAAGGCATTTTGGCTAATGAATGTATTGGAGAAACATTTACCCGCTCTCGAGCAAGTACAAAATCACTGCTCGAGCAAGTACAAACTCCTTCAGCAACGGAATTTCAAACATTTATTCAGCGGTGCAGCAGTAAGCCGCGCCAGTGCCTTGATGTTGTTCATTCGAAGCTTTCCAGCAAGAGTGCATTGCACCTAGGCAAGCTCTGCGCACTTGAGCTGCTAAATAGATCAGCCAGGCTGAACCTGGCAAGAACAAACAGCTCAAGTCTTGCCTCGGCACCATTGCTTAGCAACACCTAAGCAAAGGCACCGCTTGAAGATCAGAATCAATGTTCTGATTTTATCGCAAGAGGAATGAAAGTCCTTTTGTGGCTTGTCTCTTTGCCACAGACGATGTGGAAATTTCCCGAACGAACGCTCGCCCAGTCTGCGCCAGACCTTGAAAACGTTGCGAGAGTGGACAACGACGGTCCCTTCAAGCTCTATCACGTCGTCCTTCAGGGGCACAACGATGAAGGAACGTCGATGTTTCCTTTCGGAAATGAAACCTTTCTCAACTTGAACACGCGTGTGCACTGTAACCACTTGTGAGTATTTGTGGCCCGCGTCCCTCTTCTTTCGCTCCTTAGATCTGAGCCCAATGACGGAACTGGACCTGAATTCACTTCCGAACGCCTTCTTGCTGTTTGGCAACTTTTTGAACTTGAGCTTGCTTTTTGGAATCCTTTCTCTTAGGTCCTCTCATGCGAAAATGAGCAATTGTCAAGTAGATGGATCGTTCTGGAAGCAGAGGCAGGCGAAAGGGTCCTCCAACTGCTTTGGCCCTCATGACCAGCCTGGTGTCCTCCACGAGCCTCTGAATGGAAAACGGGTTGTCGGGAACATAAAAAACAGACCGTTAGAAATCCGTTGAGCAACATAAACTCGAGCCTGGCAGGCGCCATCGAAATTTGCGTTCCGCAAAGAGCTTGGCAGGAGATCTGCTGGTGGGTCATTGCAAGAAAACCTGAGTCAACCAGTTGGACCCGGACAAAGAAAGACTTTTGGCAGCGCAAGACCAATGACCATTTCAATGAAAGGTTGGAAACCCTTCCGTTGGGGCCTAGTTCATTTCGTGCATGGCAAGGAAACCCATGGATTTACTCTCTCTGACACTCTATCTGACATACCTTCTGAAGCTCATGCCCCATATCCTTTCTGGCATTCTATGACATTCTTTCTGGCATTGTTTCTGGCGCATTATTTCTGGCAAACCTTCTACCCAGCAGCAGCATACGTTCTGATGCCCTTTATTGGGTGTCTTCTGGTGTAAATCTTGACCGCAGTCGCGCTCGTCGTTTCACAATGGCGCGAGACACGCAAACACACTTTCCACCAAGATCTCCCAGGCGCTCCTTCTCCTATTATTGTTTTATACACTTGCGCAAAAAGTTCCTAGTTCTGGAGCCCAGGCTCCCAGAAGCTCCTTTCCGCACTGCGTTTGCGCTTGAAAGTTTCCACTCCTCACGCCACACCTCACGAAGCTGCTTCCCGCGCCACTACAAAGTTGCCAGCTGCTCGTTTCCAAACCGCAGTCAGTGACGACTACACACTTTGGCAATGCCCTCCTTCATTTTCGTCTTTGGCAGCTCGAGGCGCGTGCGTGATTTGAGCAAAGTGCCCACCGACGTCGCCGAGAATTCGCATTGCGCCTCACGTTTAAGCGCCGCGTCAAATTCGCACCCCACCTCATGCTTGAGCACGAGACACGCGCGCTCCCTGCAAATGGCGCCGCCGAGTCGACACAAAAACGCTTGGTTCACTAAAGTCTTGGCCCCCCAAAAAGTGTGAATTCAAAAACCCACGCGCGCCGCAAGGAAGAATAGGCATAAAGAACCGAGATGTGACACCCGCGCGCGCACGCGAACTCAGCTATGTTAGACCGTATGCGAGCATAATGTAAGTTGGCAGAAACGTTTGCCAAAGCAAGGCCCCAGCGAAAGTTAGATATGATAAGAAGCAGGTGTGCTTCCTGCAGCGAGACCCAGCGAAAGTTACACCAGATACAGGCAGCGCCCCAGCGACAACGCGCCACTAATGCCGAGCTACAGGCACCCCGCAGCGCAAAGCAATCTATGTACTGCTTGCGCGTTTACATGGGCAACTGCAGAACGCATCTCAAGCAGCAGCGCATCTTGAACAGCAAGTGTAGCGCAGCCACATCTGAAGCAGCAGCTCTAGAAGAGCAGACCTGCAAGCTGCAGACGTACTCGCGGCAGACGAGCAAAGCGGAGATGTACAAGTCTCAACCGCGGTACTTGCACATCTAGAACACTGTAACTAGAAGTGCAAAGGTCTGCTGGGGAGGGGAGGGAGAGCGGCAATTCCAACATGTCACTTCCATGTCTAGGCAAACATTTTAGCTTAGAGGTTTGGAAACGCAATTCGAACACTCGCAACTTTGAAGCAGGTACGGAGATGAACGCCCTCATTCTCATTTTCACATTGTAAACACCCACGCCTTGCAAAGAAAAAGCAAAAACAACCGGAAACAATAATGAACGTGCGCGCATGCCTGCGCAACCAGCCTGCCCTTCCCTCGACACACCACAATGTATGTCGAGCCTGACCTGATGCCCCTGCTTGTGAAACATGGACAAGCCTCCGAACATGCGATGATAGCTACAACCAATTGAAGCGGCCCATCTAATAGCATTAAATTAGAAGAAAGGCTGCCCATTTACTTGCGCTTCAGAAGCGGCTCACCAATCATAGCAACTGGAGCATGTAGACCATTCACGCATATGAAGGCTTCGGTAGGCCCCCGGCACATTATGGGGCCGCAAATGAAAACCCATCGCTTCCTGACCTCTGAGGCGGAGCGATTCCATCAGTGGAGCATGCTCGATCACCAAAGCAGAAAGCTCTATGAAGGAGCTCTTCCTAAATTAACCATTGCCATCATAAAGGCGTCATGATTATCGCGTGGAAACCAAAAACCTTTTGACCCATGAGCCTGTGGCGCAATCCAACATGGTAACATGGTACAATATGTGCAGTCCAGTCTTCAGTATAACCTTCCGCAATGTCTAAACAATTCCATCTAAAACCATGGTAGTACCAGATATACCCGAAATGCTCAGTCGAAATTCAATCGAAGAAAGCTCGAGCAAAAGCCTTCACAGAAAGCCTTGTGAGGAGATGCCAACCACCCTCAAGTTGAAAGGGCTCCGTGGTCACACATCTTTACAGTAAGGCTTTTCGCGCCATTATTTAAGCTCTTTTCTCCGCCTGTCGCCCGCCCTCAGCTCAAGCCCTCAGCTGCGCCCATCAGTTTCGCCGTGTGAAAACGGCATCGTGTCTCCGCCCTTCCATCGCTTTGCGCCTTTCGCTCCTTTGAGTTTCCGGCAGCCTGCGTAGCTGTGGATCACAACTGGCCCTCCATCCGTTCTGATTGCTAAATGCACGTCGCAGCTGTGACGTCTTCACGGCGCAGAACCTTCTTCGCTGGCAGGCGGCAGGCTCATTGCCATTGTCATGGCTGACTCCTGTCTTTGCCATCTGCTTTCAGGGAGCTGACTGTCTTAAGCCTATCGCGCGAAGCTTGCTCAAGGTCCTCTTTCTGCTCCACACAGAGAGGACCATAAGGATGCTCTTACTTTTTCTGACCTTCGCGTAGATGCTGTTGCCGTAGAGGTAGAGAGGGACGGTCGTCTTGCCTTTGGGTTGATCTTGGCGACAAATCGCGCTCTGAAGAGCTTGCCTCCTGGCATGGCAGATGTTCTTTGCGGCGATCTCCTGGAGGCACCTCTGCGCAAGGCGTTGCCTGACCTCAAAGCCTCCTCCGCCAAAGTTCTCACCGCGCACGCGCTCATCTGATCCAGTGTCATACATGATGAGCTCGTCGCGGGTAACAGAGCCGTTCTCCAGCGACCAACTTCCAGCACTCTGCTGGCCCGTTGTCCAGCTCGTCTCATCCGCCCTCGTCACTATGTGCTTCATAGGGATGTGACCTTCTTGGTGGTGGTCCCTCCCTGAATGTGTGTTTCACAGCTGGTGCGCATAGCCATCGTCACTCTCCTGGCTCTGCAGGCTCTGCCGGCCAGAGTGCTCCTTCTGAAGCTCTGCGGCTGTGTTTGTGATGTTCCTTAGCCACATTGGCTACATGTCCAATCCAATCTCCCCATGACTCATCATCCTCACTCTCATGTCGTTGACAGCTCCTGGCCAATTTAGAGGCACACAGCACACGTAGTGCAAGGACGTGGCTGCTCGGCTGCTGTGGTTGATGTCTGCCGGTGGCCTCCTGCCCTACTCTATGGGCTGTCAACTGCACCAGCACTGCTCTTTCCATTGCCATCCGCACGGTCTCTTTCTCGTTCTCTGCATTTTGCCATTGCCTTCAAAATTCTTGCCGTCGAATTTGCCTTTTGCTCCTTTCTTGTCTTTGTCTTTGCCTGAACCTTTACCTTTCCACTTTCCTTCACTCTTGTCTTTGTCCTTCTCCCCTGTCGACGTTGCCAGCGTCCTGGGCTGAAGGCCATCATTGGCGCTCTTGCTCAACAGGCCTTGAGTCGAAGATCAGTCCACCCTGCAGCGGGTTTTTGATGCACTTTCGTGAGGCCTCATAGTCGGTTCCAATGGTCGAGCTCAAAGTCCCCAATGCGGTCTGAAGGGGCATGCTTCATCGCCACTTCATTGTTTTGTGGCTGATGTGACATCTTCTCCTGTTTGGTCTGGTCCTCACACCTTCTTGCAGGCGCCCAGTGCGATGTCAGCTTCTTTGACGTTGCCCCGCGTAGCCTGACCTTTTCCATGGCTGGATGCGGCGCGCGCGGCGCGTCTTGGGGACGCAGGGGCCCCTGCCATCCTGTCTGACTACCTGGGCGCCACCACAACCCTGCAGCGGAGTGGCGCGCAACAGACGGACCCCAGTTTTCACCTTTAAGTTCAACATCAAAGGGCTGCGTGGTCACACATCTTTACATGTTATGGCGTTGCAGAAACCGTTTTCTGTATATAAAACGTAGGAACCGGAAAGCAAGAACTGAGGGCAGAAGCCACTGTTTGATTTGCTTCATTTCAGACAATGACCAGCTTGAAGTACACGGTCAAGGCGGGTGGCAAGCTGCTGGCAGAGTGCACGCTGAAGAACCAGTTTGCGTTTTGCCTGATCAATCCGTTTGTTGACGGGAACTGGGGCGAAGACAGCCGCCGGGGATCCGCACGCTACCAGAAGTTGGTTGACATACAGTATGTTGTCAGTTTGGCCAATCCTGTTTTGGCCAAACGCGCGCCGGGATCGTCATCAAACCCGGTTTTCCCCGTGCGTTTGTATAGCGGCCAACGGCTGACATCAGATGGCTCGGGAGAATGTGAATACACTATTATTATAAAGCGTGCTAACTTTGGTCTGCAGAATTTGCGCAATCTTCTTCTCATTCATCCCCCCGATTCTGACAGGGTTTGCGCGCATCAAGTGACAGGTGTACCGTTCAAGAATCTACACAAAGATTTATCAAAGTACAACTGCGCGATCCTGCAATTATCACCCAGGAGGTGTACGGAGGGCGCGTATAGATACAGGCGTATGGACAGATACAGCGTGTCGCAGGTACAAGTGTATAGATACAGATGTCAAACATTTCAAGGAAATGTCTCCAACATATATACATATATATATATATATCTATATTTATATCTATATCTATATCTATATATATATATCTCTCTCTCTCTTTACTATTTTCATCTAACAATGTGGACACACTAGGGGTTCTTACGGCAACGGTCAAGCACCGGTGTCCAATCGAGGTGTTGCGCCGGGGCGTTTGGTTAATTCGCTGCTATTTTCAGCGCGCTCATGCCTCTCGAAATCCTCGAAGTGCATATCGACTGCGCAGGCTTGCAAAATCTGCGTGGGCGCGCCGGGGGAAACCTCGTGTGTCGGCGGTCCAAAGTCGGCTTTTCGCGACAGGCGCAAGGGACCGGAGCGGTTTTACTTCAAAGCGCAGATTTCGTGGCAGGCGCAGCACTTTGGACATGGTGGTGATCCTCGACGCGCTCTGATTTCGTGACAGGTGCGCTGAACCGTGACTTTTCTACATGTGGCAGGCTTTCAGAAATCCTAGCGCGTGCAATACTTTGGGGACCTTGAAGTGCAGATTTCGTGGCAGGCACAGCGCTTTGCGAACCTCGAAATGCAGATTTTGTAGCAGGCACAGCGCTGTGTGAACCTTGAAATGCAGATTTCGTGGCAGGCACAGCGCTTTGTGAACCTCGAAGTGCAGATTTCGTAGCAGGCGCAGCGCTTTGTGAACCTCGAAGGGCAGATTTCGTGGCAAACGCAATACTTCTTGTGACCTTTGAAGTGCAGATTTCGTGGCAGGCACAACGCTTTGTGAACCTCGAAGTTCAGATTTCGTGGCGAGCACAGCGCTGTGTGAACCTCGAAGTGCAGATTTCGTGGCAGGCGCAGTACTTTGTGAACTTCGAAACGCAGATTTCGTGGCGGCGCCTTCACTGAGAAAGTTGGGTACTCTCATACGGGCATCAATGAGAAGTTCAAGAATCGCTTGAGAACCTTCTTAGACCAAAGGAAGCATCCAGACTATACCGGCTCAACATCTACTGGGCCCACTGCGGCTGTTCGCACATTCGGTTTTCTGGCTTCTTATCCGATGATTGCTGGAAGCTTTATTCGTGGCTGTGAAATGTGCTGAACTTGCTGTACCTTAGCTGTCAATGACAAAGCGCATTGCGTTTCACCTCTGTAAACTTTGGTTTCCTTGTCTTCGCATCCGTGGGGGCGCAGCACTTTGTGCTCTCAGATGCTCACTCACTCACTCACTCACTCGCTCACTCCCTCCCTCCCTCCCTCCCTCCCTCCTCCCTCCCTCACTCACTCACTCACTCCAACTCACTCCAACTCACTCCAACTCACTCCAACTCACTCACTCCAACTCACTCACTCCAACTCACTCACTCCAACTCACTCACTCCAACACTCACTC